TAATTCCAAATAATTACGAAAGGCCAATTCTTTGTGAAATAAATTATTTTTTTTTTACTCCAATAAGAAAACAAAATCTTCTCCTGATATTTTATTTTATTTATTATTCACTCTTCAGCTTTCCACTGTAAAGAGTGCCAAAATACACCTTTCAATTCTGTTAAACAGATATTTAAATGCTTTTTAAATATTGTTCACACTGATTTCTTGTAGACAGAAAATTATTGTTCTTACTTCCAAATCTCACTTAAAACATAAAAATCTAAAACATTTGAAGATAGATAAATGTTCTTGTTCAGCTGCTAACACTGTGCTGTTACAAATGTTATGTATGTGTATTGTTGTGTGCTGTCACAAATATTATGCCACATATATAAAAAACAAAAATATTTTCAAGGCAATACTTCATGTACACAGAGAAATCAGTTCTTTCCTCTGGCATAATTCCATATATTTTAGAATGACTCAAAACAAGGAACTCACCCAAACTACTTTCTGCAGCAGACTTTCAGAGGGATTTTCTTTCTATAGTTTCTTCCTGCAATAAAATTTATATGCATAAAAATGTGTATAAAAATACATGACGTCTCTTTATTTCCCTGTTTCATTGTATTACTAAAAAGTTTCTAAAAAGTATTTTTTACTAAAAAGTATTCACCTCTGGCCACTTAATCTTGTCATTTTCTGAAATGATTCTTCACTGTCATTTCTCTTCAGGATCGTTTACAGAAAAACAAAATGAGGCTAAGCTTAATGTAGCTGTGGGGCAGTCTTAAAGCATGATTTTTACAACACTAAATGTCTACCAGTAAAGCGCCTAGAAAAAATATATATTTTCCTTTAAGAATTTTTCATTTCACTTATCTATTAGCTATTCAAATCCTATTAATTTATTTTAACATCTTATTTCGTTCTCTTGTAATGAGAAGTTTAATCATCTGCTTGGATTAAACACATCTTGCACATGGTGGTTTTTTTTCAAAAGTGCTTCTATTCAAAGTTATTCTTCTGTGTTTCCATTAAGTGGCCAGATTCCCATGTCTGCTTCTTTCTGTCATACTCTTCAGACAGAGAGACCTCGAAAAAATTAAAACTTATTTATTTCTTAGAAGACTTTTCTTTACCATCAACGTTCAGGATGAACTTCTCCTGGAAGGACTCATTTTGAAGAAAGAGAAGGTGCTGTCTTTGCTTGAGGATGGCTGCTGAATTTTCGATAAGAAATTTCACTGTAGCTTGTCAGATTCTGTCATTCAATGGACTGCATTTGTCTGCTGTGAAGGAAATTCTCTGTGAAGGAAAAGGAACAGAAGACGCTGATGTGATCAATTTTAAAATGTCTGGCAAGAAGTAAAATCAACAATTGTCTGTTTTGTTGACTGCACACAGAGCATTCAATATAATCCAACATAACTATCTTTGGAGGATACTATTAAAAGTGTTTCACTGAATTTTACACAAGTATCTGTAGATTTACATGGAAAAAAAGAAAAAAAGAAAAAAGAAAGAGTTTATGGGAAGTTATCCACACACAACAGGAGTTTGACACATTTGGGCAGTGTCTCTAAACAGAAAGATCCAGGATTCCGTTTGTGATGATCTCTCAAATTGTGAAAGATATTTGACTGTACTCTAGTGGGAACAAAGAAATAAACAAACGAACACAATGGCAGAAGCAAACTGCTAGTAGATGGATATTGAAGGACTTTTTTCACTTCAGTCTCAAAAAAGAAAGTATGAGAAAGAGGGTGTATGGAAATAAGTCACCACAACTGATGAACAATAAAAGCTGGTAGATTAAAAAGTAGATGAGAAATGTCATCTGCATGTCAAATGCTAAAGTGTAGTATGTTTACTTAGAAAACTAATTGAAAACAAAGGTGATTTTTGATGCTGCCTCATGAAACTGTCTACAAGCTATGTCTGATCTGAACACTTTCCTTAACTTGTAGTTTCTCCAAATTAGGTACTGAGATGGAAACACACATGGGATAGAATGTTTGTATCAGTTTTTTATTACTTCTTTTGTTTAGGATGGAATCATGCATATTTAAATTTTCACTGAAGTATTTCTAATTGGTCCAACAATGTTTGCACTAGGACTTTGATCTTTTTTACTTTGGCCCTTCCTTAGCCTTCCTCCTTTCGGGTTACAAATATATTTACCTTAGTAGTAGCTCACCTTCACCTACACAACACCAAACAAAACCAAAACAAAAACTGTTATGAAGAATAGCCATTCCACTGGAATTAATAATTAAGTATTCTGATCTATATCAGAACTTCTTTCTGGAAGAGGTAAGAAGGAAGTACCAAGGCAAGTAGAAGATCTCACTTCATTTCCACCAAGTGAATTTTTTATGAATTATTATTTCCTACTACATACTTATTTCCTATTGTCTACTTTTAATAGCTGGATAATTTTGATATTTTCAAAATGAAGAATGTTTTATTCCTCTTCTTTTTCTTTTTCTTTTTTCCCTTTTTTTTTTCTGAAATGATGTAGTTCTTTTTCATTCTGAGTATGAACTAATTAGTGTAATTGAATGTAAGCATTTCAATCATTTATTTTGAATTTTAGTTTTAATGTGAAGGGAGGGGGCAAATCAACCCAAAATGTTTATCTTTTGATGAAGAGAGAAATGTATGTGTTGTTGCATGACATAAAATCTTGTTACCTCTAGAAATAAAATCACAATATATATCCAGATACTCCAAAGTCTGAAATGAAATTCTTGAAATTATTGAAATGGCACTAAGTCTACTGTGATTAGCATGCACTTTATATGTACCTTACCAAAGGTAAAGTTATTACAGTGTGTGATCATGACGTAATGTCCTACTTGGCTGTAGGTCTTACATGTTTTTGCAAGCCAAAAATTGAACTCAAGAGAACATAATATCTTATTCAACAACAGTAAAGAAAATGGACAGTGAGGTGAACAGCTCACTGATGGTTTCCACCTTGCACAGCACTATAGGAGGAGCTTGAAACCAATGCAGAATGCTTATTAATTTGTTGCTTTTATGCATGGTACAAGAGGCTCCCTACTGACTTCTTTAAGCTTGCAGATTAAAGTTGAGATGATTATAATCCTTCTGATTAAGTTGGGGAGTCTGCCCAGACCACTTCTTTCTCACAAAAAAATGGTACTTGGGTATGTTTGTAACTACCTTTTGCTGCATGCTCCACATGCAAGAACCATCTTTTCAGAACTAACAGCAGCTAAGTCAGCCGTGCTGTCATTATATTGAAAAGTTTTTTATACTACACGCCACTTACAATCTACTCTTCTAGAGAGAATAAGAAACCTATATTTCTCTTCACCTTTTTCCTCTCATGCTGCATGGACTGAATTCTATTATGGGATGTATGTAAGTGGTAAATGATCCTCACTTCTTAAGTAGGAAAAGTAGGTCATGACTTCAAGTTGCTCTCTCAGAATTACACAAACACATCCACATACTTACTTTTTTCTCTTATTGTCCCTCAGTTAATTTTTTCTTTAGCATAAAATTATCGTCAAAGATATACTTGTCTTGTAGAGCAATCATTTCAAAGCATTACCTGGAGAACTTAGTGTATTTTCTGGCTTGTATCAGATTAACTTTTGAGAGGATGAGTCAGAAATAAGACAAGAAAAAGTGTACAACAAAATGAGGTTTGTTCAATTGGTGTATATTCAGAAGCATGGTTAGATGCAACTGCACAGACTGTTAATATGTTGGCCAGCCTTTTTTATCCCTGCAGAAACATATAACTCCAGGTTATAAATCTCAGTTTGAGACTGAGAGCTTTAGCCTCATCCTTTGTGGATATTTGTCTCATCACCCACACACACAAAAAAAAGAAATTTGGTTCCATTTAATGGAAAGGCAGGCCTCTGACTCAGTTCTTGTGGAGTAACAGATATTATAAGCCTCAGCTAAAGAGCATTGGCAGTAGTAGATGGGAATCATCTAAGACATCTGCACTGTTCTTTAGCAAGCCTTTATTGTCAACCTTTCAGTCTCTTGAAATCAAAGCCCTCATCAAATCAACAACTGAAATAATTTTTCAACTTAAGAAAAAAAAAGCAACACTGCATACAAGAATATATCCTAAAAGTGCAAAGAACAACTGAAGGGGGAAAAAAAAAAAAGGAAAAAAAAGATATTCTTGAAATTATGTACTTATACACATAAAGAAGGCTGAGGTAAGCAGGCAAAGGGGCAAGTAATACTAAAGAAATGATAGATAAGCTCTCAAGAAAAGCATCCAGACCATACTGTGTTGTGGGAATTTTCATTAGTTCTGAAATTAGAAACTGGGCATTGGTGTTGGGGAGAGGGGAGTGTCTCAAACCAGCTGCAGCTCATTTTAATTAAGGTCTAATTAGCAAGTAAACCTTGCTGGAAGCAGGAGAAGTCCATGTCTATATAATACAAACCAGCTCACTGTAGCAGTTTTTTGAAAATGAAGGGGTGGTAGGATGCTACTGATACAGAAGAGAAGAAAGATGGATAAATTCACAAGTTCTTGGGATCTTCTGTGGGTGGGTTTTTTTTTCTGGAATGTGTGTCTGAATAGAATTTTCTTGTGTTTCTTTGTTTTATGGTAAGAATAGTTTTGAAATTAAGGCCTATAGACACTAGGTATGGATGTTTAACCTTCTAAATTTCTTATGGGCTTGTGGGATTTCCCTTTTCCTTCTCCTTGTTATTTTCTTTGTTTCTATGTTGTTTTTTTTTTAGGTAGTTGGCTGTGGAGTACATTGTAAGACCCTTTTTTGCTCAGTAACTATAAATGATACCAGTTTTATCCTGGTGTTGAGATATTTTGCTGGCTGTGATCACTATCTCTTCATAGATAATATGATAGTTGCTGTATTTAGAAGATCTGTAGCAATCTTGGTTTATTTAAATGTGGTCTTTTTTACAGACAATCAGTTACCTATCTGAAAAATACTAGCAGAGGGATTTCCTTTGTGGAAAAGACAGTATGTCTTGGGTTCTATATATATGTGCTGAGAGGAAGTATACTCATTTGGATCTAGATATTCTTTACTGTTACCACAACTCAATTAATCTAAGGATGGCATATAACAGGTAAGGCTCTGTTATGAAATAATATGAGAAGGTGAATTAGAAATGTTGATCTTGATTATAATGTTATTTGTAGACCACATGTGGAGGGATGTTACTTGAAAGGGAAGATAATAATGCATGAAGTTTCAATTCCTCATAGCTCCGTGGTTTTTTTTTAGTGTTCAGTAATATTGGGAAGTCATGGTTTTGGATGATGAGTTGGTAAGCTTTTCTAATGATGAAAATATGGCAGATGTTGCCCGCAACTTGTTGGGAATGGGAAGGTCAAGAAAATGGAATATAAGGTGAGTAGAAAAACAGCTGATTTGCAAGACTAAATTTTGAATTTTAACTGGAAATTGATTGAGTGCTCTTTTCTGAGGGTCAATACTAGAATTGGTGCTTAGCATCTTTGTGTGTGACATGAATAATAATCTTGTAGCAGTGCTTACTCTTGGTGTGATCCTCCCACAGGAGATCTGTGGGTGAGACTCCTAATACAAGAGATGAGGTTACTTAAGATTGTGTGGGGTGAGTCTGCGCTGCTTTTCTGACTCTCAAGTGCCATTTCTGTGCTCCTTGGGCATCCTTCTCTATACCAGCTACTGTATTAACTGACCAGTCCCTCTTTACTTGTCTTGGACTATTTTGACCCTGGAGTAAGGAATCTGTTTTCCCAAGGAACTTGGGCTTGATGATATTTAGAGCTCCCTTCTAACCTCCGTGATTCTGTGAAGTCTTGTTTGGTGTAACATTATACCTTCAAGAAAAATGAATCTGAGATCCTAGTCTAATTCTGCTGAAGTTATCTGGTAATCCTGTTTTGAAAGTTATATGTAGGTCATGGCAGGACATCAGAACTTAAAAAATAACTTTTATTGTTTGCTTGCCTAGAAGGAAAAACAGTTGTTATTTAAAGTTGTGAAACTGTTTCAGAAGATGTGCCTTCTCATTAACATAAAATTTCTGCTGTGCTGTAGTGAAGTGTTGGCTTCTGGCTATGTTAAACTTAATTATTTTCCTCCTAACACCTTTTGTATTTCATGATTCTTGCCTTATCAAGTCTGATAGCAGTTGCAAAAATAAAAGGGAAAGTGCAAATAATGTTTATTTCATTGTAACTTGTCCACATTTTATGATCTGAGTAAAATAGCCTGCATGATATATTTGATTCATCTTTTTCTTGTGCTGGTTTAATGTATTTCTTATAAAACGCAAAATAATTACAAAACCAATTTAGATGCAGCTTAATCCTATCAGTATTTTTTAAATTGAATTGTTAGCTTAAGCAACAAAATGAAAAGAAACCTAGTATTGCAAGCAACAGTCAAATATGTGGTATGTCCTAGTTTTCCTCTATAAGAGATATTTGGAGATGCCTCTTATTCTCTGCTGGAAAGAGAAACTGAAAAGGAATATCATCGTGGGACATTAATATGTTAAAGCTGGCGTTAAGCTAGTTATTAATCAACCTTATGTGACTTTTTTTTATTGTAGCCTAACATTAGAGGAGATAATGGCATTGCCCTTAAAGTTTCATACAAGTATATATTATTATCAGCGTTCATAAATTTTGAATTATCAGCTGATGGGTAGCATGGTAAGGATTTAAAGAAGCCCCTAGATCTTTCAGAACTCAGTCTGGAGTACTGAAGTAGAAATCAGAAACAAAGAAAGGCATATCAATATTGAGGAAAAAAAAAAAAAAAAGGAAAACACAAAACACAAATCTTTACTTTCCAGTTCACTGCAACTTTTTTTTCATTTTAGAATATTTTTGGACTTAAGCAAAACTACAGAAATGAGAGCCCCAGTTCCCTGCTTTGTTGTCAGTATGGCTAATCTTTTTTTGTAGCATCGTGAAACTTAGTGTATCTAGCTTGCTTAGGTTAGCCCAATGCTTAACTAACCAAGTTTGCAAAAGGGGGAGGTGTGGTCGAGATCTCATGACTGCTCAGACCTTTCTCCAAGCTCAAAGACACAGTGAACCCAAATGCATCTATGGGATGTGCCTTTGTTCTGCTGATGCATGCAAGTAGGTGGCAGGTTCCTCTCATGCATCCAGCATGCCTGCTTTTACATTGGTCTTGAGAACTATTATTTGGGATGGGCTTTGTCATATAACATGTTATATAGTGCATTAAAATACTGTATGAAATGTTCTGCTGTTTCTTTAGTCCTGCTTGCATGCCTTGATAGGATTTCATTTTCTTCATAGTTCAGGAAATAATTTCCAAATTTTTCTCCAAGAAATTATACCAACATAATACATTAAAAAAATGTCATTACCAGACTTTAATATTTGAAAAGCAGTACAGAACTCCCAGGTGCTTGTTGACCTATGATAGTTGGAAGTTATATAAAATTTTTGCAATATTCATCCTGTGTTTAACAATCTTTATAGTATCTGTCAGAGATGGGTGTTGACTTTCTTCCTCTAGACAGGGGAACAAAGATCTTCAAAAGCACTCAACCCAACCCTACATTTAATTCATTGTTATGCTAGTCAGTAGCTTCATAGTACAGAGCTTTCCAGTAGGAAAAATCCTTTGTTGTGCTATTGAGATAGTTTGCTTCCTCGTTTCCTTTAGGATGCTGCTTCCAGCTCTTCAGATCAGTGTAACTTAAAATAGCTGCAACTGCACGTATATTGTCTACAGGGACAATAAAGAGAAAGACCTCTGCCCCATGGGAGTTATTGTTGGCTTTCTTAAAATTGAAGGAAATGCTGGCCTGTATCATGGTACAATGAGACAATGATCACCTGGCCTGTTTAATTTGTGAACATTTAAGATCAGAAACTTTTACTTTATGCACTCAATCTATCAAAATGAGGAGACTTTGAATGCCTTACTATTGAAGATAGCAATGCACAGACTAAGTGATGTTTTCATTTCAAGGTTTCCAAGACTTACTAAGCTGGAGTCTTAAATACAATGACACCTTTCTACTTGGAATGACGGTGGTATAACAGTCTAAGCTATGACTCCTGCTCTCAAATGATCCAGGTTACTTTCTAAAGTGACTTCAAAATCTAATTACATCTGAAGACAAATTTCTGGCTGATTTGCAAGGACTATCAAAGCACTTCAAACAGCTTGAAAACCTTGCTTTTGAACAATTGTTTTTTTTATTTCACAGCGTATGATACTCAACGCAAAAGTGAGGCTTGCAGTGACACAAGAATCCGGCTAACATTGGAGTTTCTATTTCTTACTCTCTTTCTTGAGGCCTTAACACTTTACCTTTAACATCTATGCACAGTTTGGACTGCTAGGGTTTGAAGTTGCCTTGACTCTATATGCCTATGTCTTACCACATACTTATTCTGAGTTATTTGCCTGTCCTTTATCTATTAAGAATCATTATTTGTGAGCTCTTCTCTACTTCAGAAGTCCACTGAAGTTTGAGTAATATGGAATGAATATTTAGAGCGATTGAAAAGGGAGAGATATTTCAGTTTTTCAAGGTACTCTGGGGAGTGTGCGCTGTTCTTCTCGTGAAGTGTAGATATATTGGTCTATCTGTAGTAGATGCATACTATAACATTTTTGACAAAAAAAAAACTGTACTAGAATTTACTATACAGCCACAAGCATGTTCTCAGCCACAGTTTTAGTGCATTTGAAATCAAGTAACTGCAAATATAGTTTGATATTTATGAAAACTGGGTTTCAAAACTGAAATTCCAAGTAGTATAACGTAAATCTGAGCTTAATGAGATTTGTTATAATTTAGAATTTCGTACCATCAAGTGAAACAGAATTTGATCACAACTGTGTTGAAAACTTAAGGGTAGAGTAGTAAAGGGTTATGTTCAAAATATATATGAAATAGGCTTGTCTCAAAGCAGAATCAGTTTGAAAATCTTTCAATGAAAGACCAAGCAGAATGTTTTAGTCAGGTAAGAATAATGAATGCTGTTGAGGATTTGTATATTAGCGTATTCTTCTTTCCTGCTGCTTGCAGTGACATCAGTTGCTCATATTTTCAACTAGTAAAACACAAGCTAAAGTTATAGGTTGCTAAATATAGCTAGCTTAATTTGTTAGTTTGATGGTTTATTTGTAATGAAGACCCCAGGGTAAAATCCAAAATGCTGAGATAGAAGTAAAACCTTGCTATAATTTTTAGTTGCAGCTTAAACTAATGGGAAGTAAACACGATAATAAAGCCCAACAATAAACAAAATATGGAAGGGGGATAACTAGGAGTAAGGTTTCTCTCGTTGCATTCCCTTGAAGAGAAAGAGTCATTGCTTTACAGTCTATCATCACCTTTGAAACTGTCATATACCAGCTCAGGTCTTCACCAGCTGGAGGCGACTGTAGCGTTCTCTTGCAGATGATTTTTTGGTACTATATTCTACGTCTGAAATGAAACCAGACATGAGTAGGAAAAGAGGAGGGATGCTGAAGAGAGGGGGTTATGTCCCTGCCAGATTACTGAGAAATATCAACATACAAAAAGGGGAAGTTTGTTTAAATATCTATAATATTGAGGATAGTAGGCTGCTTCTTCACAGGGCAATACATGTCTTATGCTTAATATTTCTAACATTTCAAGGAACGAGTAGGAGTGCTTACCAGCTTATAAGTATAAAAGACACTTGTGACAATAGAATGCTTTGAAATTGTTTATTCGCATTTCATAAAACTTGTGATGATTAGAATGAGAAGCTTGTCTCCTTCCTTGCCTTCTATTCACTGTGTCAGTTCTCAAAATCTGAATCGTAACTGTGACAGGTTTTCCAAGCTTTGCCTTTGTCAACTTTTCCTTGCAGACTAACTTTTTAGAGAAAGGTGAATAGAACCTCCTGTACAGAAAAGCCTTTTACAAGTAAAGATAAATGATTTTACTTTCATCAACTGAAGAGGTGCTTTGAATGGTGTAACCTGGCTCCAAGCACAGTTTTGGAACTCTGTCCACCCAGGAACTGTCTTCTACTTTCATCCGTCTGAGATCTTGTCCTTAAACCCCTTTTCTGTGACAAGAGTTGGTGGCCTTTAGAGGAAAGGCTGTTGTCTGCAGCCCAGTGCCTGTTTTATGCATAGTTTTCTTTATTAAGAAATAATGACACATCTGTGATTTTTCTATTGAGATCTAATAGGAACTGTAATGCTCTATCATTTGGTAGCACATTCCTCTTATAACATATACATCAGTGTAGAACAAGGCTAAAATGGGATGAAATTTACTGTGACCTACAAACAGGCTTTGAGATTCCAAAATGAAGGAAGATCTTGGAAGGAAGCTGTTATTATAAAATACAATTTTTGGATTGTCTTGATGCAATGCATACTGAAAATTTTGAGTGAAGATTTAAGCAGAAGTATATGACAAAGAGTACTTTTACACACAGTTCCTCAAAATTGCAATTCTGTGGTTGTTTGGTTTTTCTTTCGCATTCGAAACCTCTTCATTATACTTCATAAATATTTCCATGCCTATCTTATGGTCTTATGCTATGCATATTGAATTATCTCTGGGAACTTTAGTTGAACTTCAGGAATGTGGAACCAGTTATCCTGCTGGAGATGATCAGAATCTTACATCACTAAATTAAGGTGCCGTAGTGATTTGTTTATTTATTTTGGTTTACACTAAAGCGTAACTCAGATACAGAAAGCAACTAAAAACATGCAGTTAAGCTTTTTTCAGATTTTCCAGTGTTTGTTTTTGGGAAGTGATCCACCACAGGACTGGCTTAAAGAAGTACAAGGTAGATTCAGCTGACAGCTGCAAGAGTACCCCTCAAACCAGAAATTAAAAACAGTAGTAGATTTACATGGTAACTAAACAACATATGATGATTATATACTTCCTAAACACCTTCAAAACCTTCATCTTCTGTTACTTGCATATGACAGAGCATGCTTGATCAAAGTGTAGGTGTTTGTCCATGTTTGCATTCCATCATTGTTCTCACTGCCTTCATCTCCCACTTAAAAGAACAGAAATTATTCATTATTGTAGCAAGCTGTCCAAGTCAACGTTGCCATGGGAACTTTAACTTTCAGAATTGTTTTTCCTCTCAGATTGTTCATTTTTGTTTTTTATCACTGATACTAGCTCTATATTTAGTAATTGGCTTCTGTTTGTAAATGAATAAACAAGGGTTTATAGGTTCCATGTGGAATGTGATTATTTGCTTCTGGCTCCCTGAACTTCTGAAAGCACTGTATTGAACATGGCAGCCAGCATGTTTATACTACATATTAGTCTACAGTTTGATACATCCTCAGTAGAGAGGAGGGGAAGGGGGGAATGAGCCAACAGTATATACTGAAACACTGTTAAGCTCAAATTTTCTACAGATCCTTGCTTTAACCTGTCAGGGAATGTAGTAAATGGCAGGTATTTTCTGAAGCTTTAGTCCTTAGGAGATTTGTAGCAAAAATCCCACCTCTTCTTATAACTAGCTGCCTACACACAGCGTTCTTCACAACGAATCTGAAAGAACAACAACCTCAGAACAAAGATAGAACAAAGAACCTCAGAATGATGCATCAAATAATCACTCAGTACACTTCAAACTTGCACAAATTATTTTATAACAAAACTGAATTGTTTTTCTGCTGGTAATGTGAATCTACCTGGCCAAAGATTTTTGTATACAGCCAGCTGAAAGATCATGAGTTCATTTCCTCACGACAAGATCTGAACTGGTAGCTATGAAGTGAATTTCTAATAATCATTCCTATTGATCACTGCTGCAATTATGTAGAGGTGCAAACTTCTCAGTGAAAAGCCAATAGAAAGCTATGAATTATTTATGTTTTCAAAATAACTCATTCTCTCTTAAATCAGATTTCAGTTTACTTGTGATAGCTACTTTTGAGAGGGGAAAGAAAACAAATACAAAACATTTTAAGGACAGATATTCTCAAACCAAATTTTTCGAGTGAGAACTTAGCCTGCTTTATAACACTTCTAAGGTCTTGGTTATTTACCAAGAAATAGGTTGGTCTATTTCTCTTATAACCCTTGAGAAAATGGTCAGAGGAAGAGTAGAGTGGCAACATTAAATCAGAGAAACACTTTGAGAAGTGTAATGTCCTAGATGCTCCTGTTAGATTATGGATCTTAAACCAGCATTTCAGTATTTAAAAAAAAAAAAAAAAAAAGCTTCTGTTAACTTCTGATTTGAGGTAGGTGGGGTGAGTTTTCCATTTAAAAGCATAGAATTCCAAAATATAACAGAGCTTACTACTGAAGTACTTCCAGTTTTCCTTGATGCCTTACTATAGAAAAAATTCAGGATTACTGCACAAGCTTCATAAATATTTTTTATTTGAATGTTTGTCCAACTTGTAAATGAATACATCAGAACTTCTCTATTACTTTGAGGATGGAAATTTTGAGATGTTAGGTGCTCAGATGAAGTATCAGTAAGCCCTCTTCTGACGTCTCACAACATTCAAGGAAGCTGTCAATTTTTTCACTTGTTGATTAGTGGAGGGAGTTGCCTTTTGTGATAACTAAGGATAACTGAAAAGCTATAGCTAACTGAAAAATAGCTATGGAAAAATATCATATGGAGAATTGAAATTATGGACTTGGTTTATAAAATATAAAGGAATTCTTGGCAGTGTAATGAAACGGTTATTTTAAATTAGAGCTAACAGAAAAATCAGTAGGAAAATGTAACTTTTGGCAGATCCAGCAATACACATCTTTTCCATGAAGCATCTTCTCCATCTTCTCTACTTTGTTTGCTTAAATGATAATATGAAATTTTGGATGCAATTCTTATAGTCCTGGATAGGAATAACAGGACTGTCTATCAAGACTGGTTACTTATCTCTCTGTGATGTTTTTCATATCTGTTTGAGGTATTTAAACATTGTAGTACCTCACACTATCTTCAAGTAGATATGCAGAAGTGTTAGTCATCAGCTGTGGGAATATAATGCTGCTGATAAAGTGCTGTTGGTAGCTGAGAAATCAACAGCTGTGGCTCCCATACACAGGAAATCTGTCTCTCTGGGCTAGCACGTGTCTGAAATGACCACTTAAATGGATTTGCTGACAAATCCAGAGCATAATTAGACAAATTTGTATTAAAACATACAAATGTGTTTGTGTAATGAATTGCCCAGGCTCCGGGTATGACTAGGAAAACAGGAGGAGTAGGGAAGAAGTAAATTGAGACAAATTTCATTCATGTGGATGCTCTTAGAAAAAACAATGTTCTGTTCAAAATAGAGAACATCTTCTTATGG